TTGGACAAACATCTGGCAGGATAAGAGAAGATTCAAATAAACAAAATACAAAATGAAACAGGAAAAATAAATGTAGACACAATAGAACTTCACAAAATAAGAAAAGAATGTTTTGAACAATAATATGTTAGTTTTGTTGAGACCTTGACAGACTGAATTAATTTCTGAAAAATATATAAAATGAGAAGAAACAGAAGACATAAGTATGCCAATAATAGTTAAATAAGTTGAACTACAGTCTATTACTTTTCCTGCCTCCCAAACTTTCAGGTCCAGTATATTTACAAGAGGTCCTACCTTACCAAATCTTCACGAAACAAATAATTTCTATCTTATAGGTTGTTCCAGAAATTATAAAAACAGGGAAAGTTGTACAGCTCCTCATGTAGGGCTACTGTAATCTTGATGTCAAAATAGGATGATGATGGTACAAGTAATAAAATTGCAGTTCCATTTCACTAATAAACAGAGATGGGAAAATCTTACATAAAACATAAGATAACCATATCTGATAGTGTAATAAAAATTAATATATCATAATTAAGGAAGGTTTATCCTAGTTTGTAAGAAGAGTTTAACTTCTAAAAAAATCTACCAATGTGATTCATCACATTAATAGACTAAAAGGAATATGTCACATAATTTTCTCAGTAGATGTAGAAAAAGCATTTGCTAAATTCATTGCTTTATGATAAAAATAAGCCTCAGCACACAGAGGGCAGAGAGGGTTTCATAAATATGATGATAGTTATAACATCAAAAACGTACATTTAGCATAATATTGATGGAGAAACTTTGGCTGCATTCATAACAAATTGGGACCTAGCATGTATGTCTACTCTTGACTACTCCTGTTTAACACAAGTGTCCCCAGATTAGCCAATACATTCAGAGTTAAAGCAATTAATGTTTCAGCTGAAATATGAAAAAATAAGTGTGCATTAATAGACAAATAAACTTTGGGAAAAAATACAGTCAAGAAGGGAGACTTGACAACCAGATATTAAGATATACTACCAAACCATATTGTAATAATAAATGCAGTATGATATGGACGCAAGAGGAGACATAATGCAATAAACCAATGGAATAAAATTAAGCTTTAGAGAAAGACTCAGGTATAAATGGCAATTTCATCTCAACTCAGAAAATTCTGACCTAAAAACTGGGGAAAAGTCTTTGCCCATGTTATTGAAAAACTGACTCATGATATGGAGGGAGAAGAAAAAACAACTGGGTGATTATCATATCCCATATACAAGAGATACAGAAAGATTAAAGATCTGAATGTGAAAGAGAAAACTCTAAGGATGACAGAAGGAAGAAGAGAATATCTTAGCAACTTAGGGATGCGGAAGGACTTCTTAAAAAAGACCCCAATAGCACAAACCACAACATTATTTTAAGATGGATTTTTATTACATCTGAATTACATTTTTTCTCAAGGAAAGACATCAGCTGGCAGTTAACTGAGAGTGATAGATTGGGAGGTGGTATCTTTGTGACTTGAGAAAGGCACGAGGGTAATATCTAGACCATACAAATTATTCATGCAAATCAAGACAAAACCCAGGAAACCCAATAGAAAAATATGCAAAGTATTTGATAACGAACTATTCAAAGTATGGGAAATCCTATGTGGCATATGGTGTAGAAAGAGGTACTCAGACTCATTGGTTAGAGGAGGGATGCAAATTAAAAACAGCAAGAACATACCTCTTCACACCGAGTAGACTGGTAAATAATCAGACACTTGGAAAAAGCCCAGTGCTGAGGATACCCAGCAGCAGGAACTCTTTTGCCCTACTTGTGGGAGTATGGACTGAGTACAAGCTGTTCAAAGGGGCGATCTGGCAGTACTTTGTGAAATTAAGAACGCATGTTCCCCATGATTCAGGACCCTACCCTTCTATCCCAGAAAAATTCTCACACAGGTATATAAGCGGACAAGGATGAGGATGTTTACTGCAGTATTGTTTGGGGTGGTGGAAAATTAGAGATAGCCTAGGTGTCCATCACTGGGGAATGGAGAAATCAAATGTGGTGGATACACACGGTGGAATGCTCTACTCCAGTTAAAAGTACAAAGAACCAGCACATTCAGCAGCATGGCTACATCCTAAGAACATAGCTGAAAGAAAAAAGTTAGAAACCATGAAATCTATAGTACATGTATATACCATAGTAAATCTATACTACGACATCACTCATATCCATGAAAAATACATACACACTCCAATATTTCCCTGTATTTAACAAATCCATGGCTAAATATTAAAACATGTTAAGGATGTGGCCTCTGGGGTAAGGGAATGGGAGTGGGGAATGAAGATAAAAGAGAATGAATAAATAGAACAAGAGAGGGGCCTTGGAAGCTTTGATTTTTGGCCATGAACTCAGAGATTATGATTAACTTACCTCTCTACCTGTGAGGTTAAATGAAAAGCGATTGATAACATGCAGTGATTGGGAAATCTTCAACTTCCAAATCAGTGAAGGTCAGCCCTAAGTTTACCAGGTACACAGCTGCACATCTTGCGACATGGTGCCCACCCCTTTCTGGCCATTCACAATATCTCAGTGGTCCATAGGCTGAATTCTTGAATGTTCCTTCTACATCAATTTTCTTAGGACTCAGCACTGCCCTTGTTCATAACAGCAACACATTATATTCCATCCCAATTAAAATGATAGTTTGAAAATCATCTACAAAATTCATGTCACCCTCAATCTCATCTTAAGTGAGTTTTTATCTTATTTCATGGATACGTTTTCCCTTTTTGCCAGAATAATTTTTAAAAGAAGCTATTAAGTGATTTTCTCTGAAGGTAGCAGACAACTAATTGCTCTCTCCTCCCAACACAGATCCGGGGCATTTTTATGTGAGAGGAAATTAAGAATTCCATTTTTAGTAGGTGTGAAAAGAAAAGAGAAGTGTGCTATTATTTTGTTGTCCTAAAAGTCAGTGTTGTTCGTATTTTAAAAAGGGAAGGAAGAGTATTTATGAGCCAGTGTCTTGGAATTGGGTGAAATGTAGTTTGACTTCGAGCTACTTATCTAAACTTTCTGTGTCTCACTTTCCTTAGTTATAAAGTGAGGGTGCATGGTTCAAGTTTATGAGGGAAGAAATGAAATCATGCATGGGGAGAGCTTGGCAGTGTCTAACATACAATGTACATGTAAGTAAGTAGCTGTTACTGCTGTTTTCATTCATTGCATGCCTGTTATATGGCAATACAACAGGCGCTGTCACATTCATTGCTCTCCTTAGTATGCCAGCAACATCAAGGGATGACGTGATGTTTGCAAGGCAATCCTAGGGTGCAGTAAAACTCTTCATTTCATGTCTACCACACTAGAAAACCACTGGAGTCAGATAAAGGATACCGATTCTCCTGAGGGTGGAAGTCAAGGTCTTGCCCTCCCATGTTCAACAACACTGATCTTCCAACTTACCGTAGAGAATATTAATCACACACCCAAGGACTCCTTTTGGACAGAAATTACACTTAACGTATATCTGCCTTCTTAGCAGCCAGTAGAAATCCTGGCACATCATACAGGCTCAAAGAATCCTAAACAACAACCCTTAAAGCCCCATTTTAAAGACAAAGAAACTGAGGCCTGGACTTGACCAAAGTTAATCAGTGGTGGAATCAGGAGTTCATCTGTTTGTTTTGAATCCTGAATCTGAGATTGTTTTTCTCTTTTGGGAGGTACTTGGTCATTCCATCAAAGAATTATGGGAGGGGAGGGGGCGGATTTCTAGCAACCTCTATTATTGGCTTGTTTACTCTTAGCCCATTGCCCTCTCCTGGCTAAATATTAGGCAGGCACTCAAGGTCTTGATGCCCTTGATTTTTGCACATCCTTTCTGAACTTCTGACTCTGCGGTGCTCTTTTATATTTTGTTTTGCCTGGTGGCAATGAATGCCTCGTCTCAGTTTCTGGGTCTGAAAAAACGGAGGTGAATGACATTCTCCTGCCTACTAGCCCATCTCCCTATTTTATTTTCTTAGCTATAGGCTTAGCTCTGCCTAAACTTATTTATTTGTTTGTTTTCTGTCTCCCTCCCAGAATGGCAGCGTGGGTGTGGGCAGGAGGCAGGATCCTCCACTTAATTCACTGCTGTATCCCCAGTACCACCTGGCATGCAACAGAGGGGTCCGCAGTAAGCATTTGTTGTTGCATACTTTTAAGCAATAACTTCTAGTTATGGAGTGTTTAACTATATGGCATGAACTGTACTAAGTGTTAAATGCATCACCTCATTCTTTCTCTTATCCACATTCTTAAAACATCCTGGCAAGACTGAGCTTGCGTCCTCTTCTGGGCGCCCCCAGCAGTGACGTAAACAGCTCCGGGACACATGGCTGCATTTCAACCCAGGTCATTTATCTTATTATTATCTTTGCTCCTTATCCACTGTGCCCAGCGTTCACAACATCACCGATATGTAGTGTTCTGAAGTCCGAGCACACAAAGGCAGTTTCCTTAGTGGTAGCATAGAAAGGAATCCCCCCCTCCCCCCATCTCAGTTGAGATCTTGGCTCTGTTTCTTATAAGGGTTATCATCAGGCTGTCACAGGTTTACACCAATCGCAGAGAACCCGTGCCCAGGCTTCTGAGAGTCCCAGAAGTGCCAAACCTGTCTAATCGCCAGGGCACATGTGGCCCTGCGTTCTCTTGTTGGCCTTCCTCGATGCAAGGCGGGCAAGCCAAGTCCGTACTCCCGTCACCAGCCACACCCTCCCCGGCCCGCTCCCCCTGCCCCTCCCCTCCGAGCGGTCCAGGCGGGGGTGACCCGGAGCTCGCCGCGTCAGGACAACGCCCACCGGGGGCGTGACTGTGGCGGGTAAGCGCTGCAGGAGACACCTTGGAATCTCTCCTCCCTAACGCCAGGTTTAAAACCTCAGCACCACGTGCTGTTTGCACTGTTTGCAAACCCGCCTGCGACTGACGCTCCAGAGCTCCGGAGACCGCACGCGCTGGGAGCTAGCATGTCAGCCGTGGTCCTGGAGAACGGAGGCTCGGTCAGGAAACTCAGCGACTTTGGACAGGTGAGCCAGGGCGGGCCTTACCTGCGCAGGGAGGGGAGTTTGGCCCCCGGTGGAAAGAGATCTGAGGAGTGTTGGGTTTTCCTACTCCCATGAGTTCACCAGGAAGGCTGAATTCATTTGAAGATGATGAAAATGTCTAGGAAGTTAACAGATAACACATGTGCTCAACAAATGTTTTCCAGTGAGAGGACATCTGTCCT